GGCGCCTCTCACAGCTGGATGCTGAAGACAAAGACGCTTGGGGAGGACTGAGGGCAAGCGGTGCAGTTTCCATGCAATGTCCCCATCATCTTCCCTGTGCCCTTTAAACCGGTTGTATGTGCGTACCCTGTGGCTCCCTGCAGAGTGAGGATATGTGCACATCCAGAGGGCAGGAACTGACTGGCCGGTTTCTGTAGTCATAGCTTCCCTACTGTGTGGCTCAGGCTGGAGGATGGGTGCCACGTGCCCTTCTCAAGGCTCTCCTCCCAGCCCTCCTAGTCCCTGGCACGGATGCAGTGTACAAGATTTAGTTGAATGAATGGATGGATGCATGCATGCTTTTGTCTCACAGTCAAATGCCGTACTGATCGCCTCATGGACTCAGTGTAGCTTAAACATTTGCAGCACAAAGTAGCGTGCTGAGGGCTTTATGAACATGTGGATATTTTGACAAGACCTGCCTGCAACGGTGTCTGGTCTGATGGTTTGGAGAAGGGGAGGGGGGAGATAGGAAGTGAAGTAAATATTACCCGGAACGTGACATGACACTAGGATTTTAGCTGATGTGCTACTGGGGGACCGCAGTTAGGGGTCCAGGGGACGCATGGGAACAGTTGTGCTATTTGCACCGACTTTAAGGATAGGTCATTTTCTTCCAATATACATATGTCTGAAAGACACCTACAAGTCAGAAGACACAATGTGAAAACAGAGGGAAGGGATTTCAGACGGAGCATTGGAAAAAAGCAGTGCAATATGAGGACCATAAGCAAGTGTGATGCCGACTGTGGGGAGGATTGAGTTCAGACTGAGAAGGCTGACCTCGGCTTAGAACCCCCTTAGCCGGTGACATTGCTGAGGAGGGGCGGGGAGCATTAGACCTGTGTTCTCGGAGGATTTGGGGCGTGTAAAGCCTTGTAGGAAGCACGGGTGGGGAATGTTTACACTCAGTCTGTGTCACATGACGAGGGCCTGCGTTGTGGCATCCAGCTGGGAAGCCAGAGGAGGACGGTCCACTTGATGTGGACTCGGGCAGGAGAGCGTCCAAGGCTTCTGAGCGGGGTGGTGCAGTCTCAAGCCTGGCCACCTGGGGACAGCGTGGCGCCCATTCTGTCCCTCCTCTTAGGAGGGTTTTCTGTGGTCTTTTGTTCGTTCCTATGTTTTTACTGGTGTTAGGCTTGTCTGTCTCCACAGACAACAGTATAGAAACCGCTCTGTTATAATCCTATCCTTGGTATACCAAAGTGAACAGTATGTGTGGAGTAAAAAAGAAAATAGATACAAGTCCCACACCTCTCCCTCCGCCCTCCCAGAGGACTGAATGTTGACGGCCGGCCACTGACAGCAATACTCACAGAGCTATGAAGAAGTGAGTTCGCTGGTACTGCCAGTAGGGGAGACCAGCCCGGCTGAAATATGCTATACCCATGGCCAGGAGATACTGAGGAAGAGGAGAACACCACAGGAGAGCAGTCACATCCCAGAAGAGGAAGGACAGAGGGGTGACAGAGGGGGAGGCTGGGGGCAGACCCCGCCCGTGTGGGGAGACGGACTTTAGGACGCTCGTGGATGGCAGGCTTTGCCGGTGGGACGCCGGGTATTTAGGACAGCCGCCATCAGAAGGGTCTTCGATAAGCTGGCACAAATGGGAGTCCCCAGGGCTGAGACGAGAAGGGACTTGCGGTGGCAGCCAAAGGGGTGGAACCCAGAGGAGTGGGGGTGTGGGCAGAGCTGCCCCTTCACACGCAAGGTGCCTCCAGGCCCCGCAAAGGGCAGTGTGGACAAGGCAGTGAGTTGGAGAGAGAGGCGAGACTGTGGGTTTAAAAGGCATCTCTCCAGCCCCCCAGGGCAGATGCTGGAGAGGAAACACATCTCAGTGGACAAAGTTACCTTGTCAGATACCCTCAGATTTTTGTCCCAGGCCAGGAATCTTTTCACAGCACAGTCCCCTGGGAAGAGAGGCACAGGTTAGATGGACAGCCGGAGCAGGGCCGAGCAGAGAGCAGCCGTACCTGCTGACGGGACCTTTTGGGGTGGGGAGGCCGAGGTGCACTCATTGGGCCAGAAAGATGGTGCCACCCTTCTTGGGTGGCTTGGGGGGGCAGGTGTCAGTAGGTGATGTGCACAGGTCTGATCCTACCGAAGGTGGTGCTCCGTCACTGCGCAGGAAGGCATCGTCTCCCTTGATGGTCACATCAGCGCGCCCAATGGCCTGTCAGCACCCCGCAGGCTGACGGAGGCATTTAGATTTGAAAGCCTCAGGGGTGCAGTGGAAGCCGAGCTTTCGTGTTCCAAGTGCAGACTGCTTCTGCCTCTGGACTAATCCTGCCTCATTTCTAAGTGTCCCCGGAGGAGTCCTCTGGGAACAGAGAGGTCACCAACTGACAGGGAATTCTTTTCCATTGGAAAAGTCTAGTCACTGGAAGTTTCTCTAAAGGGGAATAGGCTCAGGGTTCCCCCTACCAAGCAGCCTTTTGAAGGCCTCGTGGTGCTCGGGCAGCACCGGGGACACCCGCCATCGCTTCAGCCTCATCTTGAGGCCGCACAGTATGTCCAGTTCCCAGGCGTCCTCCTCGCCTGGGGCTGCCTCCTCCAACTCCTCCTGGAGAGCGGCCGGCCTCTCCCGCTTCCCGTGCCGGCTGGAGCCCTCTGGCACAGGGCTGCTGTGTGCCTGGGCTTCTGGGCAAAGAAACCAGGTGACAGTGTCCAGCTGTTGCCTTTGGGATTCGTCCCTTGGTCCTCGTGTCCCTTCCCACTCCACTGCAACTACCCCCAAAAGACAAGCTGCCCCCAGTGTCTCTGCTGTCACAGACCGTGGCCTTCTCCCCAGCCATCTGTCCATCCTCCTTTGCTGGCAGCCATCTGCTCCCATCCACTTTGCCATTGTTCCGTCTCCCCGTTCTCAACACCCTTCCTCATTTAGATAATTCCTCCAGGTGCCCTTCCCCGTGTGTGTCCTTGTCCCCACACCTACACCCTCGTCCTCCAGTCCCTGGCCTTCTGAGTGTCTCCTTCCTTCACACAAGCCGCACCTGGGTAGGCCTTCCTGCTGTCGGCTCCCCGTCCTCAAGCCCCTCGTCCCTCCGCTGCCTCACCTGGCGGTCCTGGTCTCTGTGCGTCCAGCATCACGTCCGGCTGGTGCCCGGAGGGGCCAGGCTGGGGCCTCTGGCTCACAGCCTGGGAACTCGATGGAACACTGGCCATAATTTCTGCCCAAGTCTCCCCTCTCCGGGACCAGACCCTGTGCAAACTCCTCTTGTGGATTCTCACTGAATGTGACCCCGTTATCCCTACTCTAGGCTAAGGAGACGCTAGGAGTAGAGAAAGCTCTGAGAAGGTGCTTCTGGCTACCTGTGCTGCCAAGCACCTGCCAACCAGGAGGGTTGGAATCCTGTGAGGTCATAGGTTGCTGCAACCTAGCAACCAGTTTGAAGGAAAAGCAGCAACTACCAGTCCAATCTGAACAGGGGCAAACAAGGTCTCCTGCCACTGGCCCAAGTTGTGACCACCCCCCAAGATGATCCTCGAGCCGTCCAGGTCCCCTTTCAGCTCTCCTCCACAGATGACGTGTCCTCTCCACTCTCCACTTGACACACGGGTGGACTCTCGCCCTCTGTCTCGTTCTCCTATGGAGCATGTCTAGTGAGTGGCTAGGAAATTCAGGGTAGGCAGAAACAGTCAGCCCTACAAGAGTGACATAGGTAGGTAAGAAAGATCCCAGGTACATTGACTTGGACTCAAAAGTTAACTTTAAAACACTTGACAGAACAGAGCTCTTCGGCTCAATGTTCACTGACACTAGAGGGACTGTAGTACAGACCACTATACAGAGGGACGCATCCTCACCCATCAGGCATCTTTGAGCCCAAAAGAACATTTTGAGGACCTGAAATCATAGAATACCTGTGCTCATGCCCACTTCAAATGGTGCCTACAATTTCAGCAAGTCTATGGATTTCCCAGATCCTGCCCCTCAATTCCAATTAAGAAACTCTATTCTGTGTATAAAACTTCCGATTATGTGTATCACTTTGTCCCAGAAATTTCACCACCATTTGTGTATCATACGAATAAAATGTCACATGCCCAATGAAAAGGAGTTAAATACCTAGGAATACTCCTAACCAAGGAACTGAAAGGCCTTTACCCTGAAAACTACAAGACACTCTTAAGAGAAATTAAAGAGGACACTAATAAATGGGAATTCATCCCATGCTCTTTGCCAGGAAGAATTTATATAGTCAAAATGGCCATCCTGCCTAAAGCAATCTACAGATTCAATGCAATCCCTATCAAAGTACCTACAGCATTCTTAAATGAACTAGAGCAAATAGTTCTGAAATTCATATGGAACCACAAAAGACCCCAAATACCCAGAGCAATCCTGAGAAGAAAGAATAAAGCAGGGTGGATTATGCTCCCTGAATTCAAGCTCTCCTCAAAAGCCACAATAAGACAATTTGGTACTGGCACAAGAATAGACCCATAGACCAGTGGAACAGAATAGAGGAGGCAAATATTAACCCAAACATATATGGTCATTAATATACAACAAAGGGGCCATAGATATACAGTGGGGAAATGACAGCCTCGTCAACAGGTGGTGTTCGCAAAACTAGACAGCTACATGTAAGAGAATGAGACTGAATTATTGTCAAACCCCATACACAAAAGTAAACTCAAAATGGATCAAAGACCTGAATGTGGGTCATGAAACCATAAAACTCTTAGAAAAAAAATAGGTAAAATCTCTTGGACATAAACATGAGCAACTTCTTCATGAACATATCTCCCTGGGCAAGGGAAACAAAAGCAAAAATGTGCAAGTGGGTCTATATCAAACTAAAAAGCTACTATACAGCAAAGGACACTATCAATAGAACAAAAAGACATCCTACAATATAGGAAAACATATTCATAAATGACATGTCTGACAAGGGTTGACATCCAAATTACATAAAGAGCTCACACAGCTCATCACACAAAAAGCAAATAAGCCAACTAAAAAATGGGTAGAGGAGCTGAACAGACAGTTCTCCGAAGAAGAAATTCAGATGACCAACAGTCACATGAAAAGATGCTCCACATCCCTAATCATCAGAGAAATACAAATTAAAACCACAATGAGATATCATCTCATACAAGTTAAGATGGCCAACATCCAAAATACAAAGAGCAACAAGGATGCCAAGAAAGGGGAACCCCCCTACACTGCTGTTGGGAATGTAAACTATTTCAACTATTGTGGAAAGCAGTATGGATGTTCCTTAAAAAACTCAACATAGAAATGCCATTTGGGAGGCGGAGCCAGGATGGCGGAGTGAGTAGAGCAGTGGAAATCTCCTCCCAAAAACACATAGAGCTATGAAAATATAACAAACAAAA